GGTATGGGTGAAGTCATCAAGGCTTTTGCCCCCCCTCTGTTGGAAAAGGTAGCATAAATCTCTAGGTTGCAACTTAGCTACTTTGGGAGAGAACAGGCTATCAAATCAATCCTCTGAAGTAACCTCTCTGCTCACAGATCCAGCAAGGTTAGTTGCTATGGGATTTCAATCCAATTTTCTCTGGAATAGAGTAAACATTTCTAATATAAATAGAGGTAGTCAAAAAGGTTATTGAATTTGATGTATGAAAATCTGCTTTGAGAAATCTTAGAAAACAGCCACAATAAAAGGATTCTAAAACAGAACGACAGTGACAGCATCACGTGTATTTCGCAAAGGTGTCATCCACATTTAAACGCCATGAGATCTCTAGAATGAATTGCTATCTGAACTTTGACTTGAGGAAATGAGTATTGGGTAAATGCGGCTTGAGAATCTTGGCAGTGGAATGGATCAGTTCTATTATACAAACTCTTTGTTTATTTGTGGGAAGAAGAGCTGTTCTGTTGCCAAGAGCTTACAGCTGCAAACAAGCTTACTTGGCTGGACTTCAGCCTCGAAAACTTTGTTAATAACTCATTAAGAACTTCACTCATTCTTTAGTCAACTGTCAAACTGTGCACTGGGAATAAAGTAGCACCACTTTGAGATGTACTTCTGAGAAGAATAAACAATGGAAATTGATTAGCTTAGATTTATGACCAATTTTTTGCTGGGATGTTTGCTGCAATGTCAGAACTTGCTTGTAAATATAATCTATTTCTGGAGATAAGTTAGAATTTATTAGACTGAAGGCTTACAGACTTCAGGTTGCACTGAATAACTTTGCAAGTTTGCCTTTCAAGTAGCAAATGTAAAATCTTGCTTGAGTTAATTTCAAGTCCTTGTGACTACATGGACATGCCCATCAGTAGGGCTTTGTGTGTAAGTGAATTGGCAACAATATGGAAGTGGTTGCCATTGCCTATTTATAGGATGTTTTATTTTATTTTCTCCAAACTAGATTAATGCTATAGGATTTCTATTCAAGTATTAATCTAGTCCTGCTCAGATTCTTTTTTAAGTTAGCTAAGACTGGCTAAATACTGCCCCCTGTTGTGGTGGTTTTAGATTTCATGGCGACATTATCAAGGCATTATCATTTGTCCAGAGTTTAGCAGAATATAGAAAGTTTCCAGTACATAACACTAAAGGGCATACATATTTATGTTTTATGCGTAACCAGTGTGCATGCATGCACATGCACGTATTGGAGGGGAATAGGAATAACATTTTGTAGTTTTCTATATACAGATGAGTAAGAGAAAACAGAAATACTTTAGACAAAGAGACAATCAAGTCATTGCCTCGGAGATGTAAAAAACTGGAGGAGAAATCCATATAGATGCTTGACTGGATGGCCTTGGACTTGTTATTGTTATTCATATTGTGTGTGAATGATTTCCTTTCATTCTTGAAAAGATAAACCTTTCCTGTAGAAAAGGCTGAATATAAATAAATTAAAATGGGGGAATGAGATCAAATGTTCGTATTATTACTAGTTCAAAATAAGCTCATAAAAAATGAAAAATCAAATTTACACATAAAGGGACCTTGGGGAAGAAACCAATTCTAAAATCTAGTATTTGAACAGGACGTGATCTTGCTTCTCAGTTACCAAATTTGCATGCTTGCCTCAGTCTTCTGTAGCCCTGAAGGTATAAAGCCACATGATGCAGATTTGCTTAGGATAAAAAAAAACCTTATGCAATGAGTCCTGCTTCAAGGTCTGTACACAGTTACACTTTTCTGTTATTGTATATACCTATTTATCAAAACATCCAACTGTATTCAGCAAGAGGCAATATAATGGCAGTCGGAATCTCTCTTCAACGTCCCCTTGGCTGCTGGATAATTCCATTTCAAACAAAACAACAACAGAAAAACTATACACATGCATGCTAGATTGGAAAATGTGACTGGACAGCTAGAGTTGGCCAGGATCTTTCTCAGAAATGACAAAGGTGCTCTCTTCTGCCTCATTTTTGCCCTTCTTAGCACTACCAGATCAGGGCACTAGACCGCTGAAATCCTGGGAAGAGAAAAAGGATAAGTGCTAAATGGAAAGCACTGCGATATATACTGATCCTCTCTGGGTTTCAGTGCAAACCAGGTGAGACTTCAATTATAGTAATAGTAATCAATTAAGTATCCATCAATTAATGAGTACTTCTGAGGGAGAAGGTCTCTTCTGGTGCAATGGGCTTGCACACTCAAGTTGTTCTTCAGGGATAACAGCAACAGCAGTGTCTATGAGTTTTAGCTTGCAAAACTCCATATATCCAATATAGGGCAAAACTAGTGTTCTGTAATTTTTTGAAGACATTTCACTTCTCATCCAAGAATGAGAATGAGAAGCTAAACATCTTCAAAGAATAACAAGAAAGTACAGTTACCTCTTGAAAAAAAAAGTACCTTTGGGACAACTGTGACCTGGATGACTGAGAATCTCCACAGACATTTAGTTTTCTGTAAGTATCTATTTGCTACCATCTAATCATATGTACTAATCATTCACCTTTCCAGTTTTGTCAGTTTTCTTACTTTTGTCCATCTGTGGACATTGTGGCTTCACTGGTGCCTTGAACTACAGCTACCATCCTGCCTCATACATTGGGAAGCATTTATCCTAGATTTTTGAGTTTTCTTTCTTTTTTTAGCTATGCCTACTGATATACACAACAGGATTTTTGGGTGGTAAGCAGGGGTGGGATTCAACCAATGTTACTACTGGTTCGGTGGCTACTTTTTTTACACACTGTGCACACATGTAAAAAAAAATTAAGCTGTGCCACCTGGACAGCTGAAAAGCGCTGCGTAGGTGCGCAGCGTTTGAAAAGCCTCTTTCCCCCTGCTTTTTCAACCTCAGCTGCGCCGCGCAAAGCAGGTGAGGCTTGAAAAAGCAGGAAATAAAGGACAGGTAAGAGCCCAGGTGGGTGGGTGGGCCAAACAGCAGCAAACACAGAACCAGTTTGGTGTCTGCTGCTCTTCAGACGTACTGGTTCTATAGAATCGAGCAGAACCAGTAGCATCCCACCCCTAGTGATAAGAGTCCTTTTACAGATTTGCAAAGGTTTCAGATTTAACTGGAGTTCTAAAAACTGGCATGCATAATATATTGCACTAAACTTGAAGAAGAATAGAAAAAAGGAGTAAAAAGGAAGGAAGGAAGGAAGGAAGGAAGGAAGGAAGGAAGGAAGGAAG